TGTTCCCAAGAAATGCACAGTGACATTTCTTGAAAGCTGGAATTGCAATGGGAAAGAAAAATTGTGCTGTTTAAGCCTTCTGCTACATTTTAACGTTTAGTGCCTTTGCTCATATGCATAACTTAGTTTATTCTTTGACCAGATGCTTATATTTAAAATTATAATTGTATTAAGTTTGGTCACAAAAATCATGCTTTCAGTTGGCTTATTTCTGAACAGGCATGTGTGAAAATAACTGGACTGCACTCCCACCGTTCCTCTTCACAAAAAATGACATCATCTTTATATGTGCAGTGCTGTTCCATAGATACTCATGTAGATACTGAAGAAAACTGTTTAAATAAATTAAGCAGTAAAGGCTACCTAAATGATCTAGAGAGCCTCAAGAGGGGGTTGCATGCTGCTGAAATTAAAAATATTTACCTGAAAAAAGAAATGAATTTGTAGTGCCGCTGAGGGACAAATGTGGGTAAATATTTGGCATTTATGTATTGTTTTACAGTGTTCAAAGGTGCTTTCCATACATTACACTGATGTTCCTTATAACAGCCCAGTATGGTGAGGTTAGAATTATTAGCCAATATTTCAGATGTGGAGCCAAGGCTGAAAGAGAGAAGCTTGCTGAAATTCATTTGGTAATGAATTGTGGGGGACAGATTTCTGGTTTGCAGCTCAGCCACTAAGAATCAAACCAGGCATTGTGTGAATAATCAGTGGCTGTATCTCCTGATGTACTTTTTTTTTTTGACATGTAGCTGCTGGCCTTCTCAGTTTGGATTAAGATCACAGTGCAGGCATCACAGTGCAAGCAGGGAGAGAGCAGCATCATCCCAGAACCATTTTTGATGCAAATCCTTCCTCTGGAGTCGCTACTGGGTATGGAAAGGAAAACATGGGGAAACAGACAAAATCCCATATGTTTCCCACTTTGGGCTTCTCCAGATGAGGAGTTGTTCCCACTGTTTTACTAAGGCTTCTTCTTCCATTTTCATTGTGGGAGGAATCTCTACGTAGATTTTTTTTTTTTTTTTGTGCATTTCTCTGCCTTTCTCTACAAAGTGGCACTGTGGGATAGCTGCACAATAACAGACATGTGACTTCTCATGAAGCTTTTGTTCTGGTATGTTGTGGTCTAAACTTTAATACCAGCTTCGACTTTCCTCACTCTAAAGAAGTCTACAAAAAAAGCTGCGAAGCAGGGGAGAGGCTCTGGAGGACGACAACATTGCAAAATAGGCCTGTAAATTTCTGTGAGAAGGGACTGAAAGACCACAATGCATGCCTCTTGCAGAGACACCTTTGTGGCTAAAAGCAATTTCAGGCTGGCATGATTTGCACTGGGGAACTGCTGCACTGGGATTGTTTCCCGCCCCAGGTTCCCAATCCAGATGGGTGGAAGGGGCAGGGGCATTTTCTTTAGAAAAAGAAAAATACACTGGCAGATCTTTCCACAGACACCCCCTGCAACAATGTGCTGGAGCCAGGGATAAAAAGGCTTTCTTCCACCTGGTTATGAGGGATGCCCCTTTCTCCGTGCACCGCAACGCGCCTCCTTCAACCTCTGTATAGCATATCCAGAGGAGCAGCACGGCTGCTGTGGGGAGGAGGGGACAAAGAAGTCCACTTCCACCAGTGCCACAGATCTGGACTAACCCAGTGTTTGGCACAAAGCCATCCTAACTCTGTAAGGAGGTCTATCAATAGTCTGCACACAGCAAGCTACGGCGGTTGAACAACTTCGAGCAGATCCGATTTAGGCACCTAAATGCAGCTCTCACATCTCCCTAAATGCTTTAGTGCATGACAGCTCCTCATCTGAATCGAAAGGAAAATACCAAGTTCAGAATATTAGTGGTTTATGGTGCCAATCATTTAAAAGGATTTATGACATAAGCTGGCAAAACACAAACCTTAAATGAAGGCAGAATACACCTAGCCTGAGCTGTAAAATTGATTTTAAACTAAAAAGATTATTGAATTGTCTGTTTCCTGAATTTGATTTGTGACAGTGTTTATGTTCACTTTAATGCATTTGACTTTCCTTTCGTTTTGGTCAGAAAAGCAATCTCCAATTTATTAAAGCAAGTTTCACAGGAGATCCCTCACAAGCACACACTTCCCCCTCTCTCAGTACATTTCATTTGAGAGAGCATCTTCTTTGCTGTCTTTTGGAAGACTTGGCTACTAGGTTCAATTTTACTCCTTATTGCATTGCTCCCTATCACAGACTCTCATGTTAATATCAAGAGACAATCAGAAATGTTACTGCATAAACAAAAGCAAATCTTGAAGCTTTTATGTCATTCCCATACAAAATCATATTTTGATGCGTTGACATATTTTAATTTTACAACCATCAAAGGGGTCTAATCAACATTATGAAACAGCCGCCTTGCAAGTTTTATTCAGGGGTGGCAGAAAAGAACTTTGGAGTTTTAAGAACTCATCTGTAATCAAGGCAGGATTTATATCTTGCCACCAGATAGGAATGTCTCCTATACAGCATTGGACTCATAGGAACCACTCTTGCGCCTCCTAACTGCCTCTTGTGGCTTATACTACAGGCAGAGACCCTGTACCTCCAGGTGTTGCTGGATTCACATCTCCTGTCAGCAAAGACAATGGTTGTTACCTACAGATTATAGTGATTGTAGTCCAACAATTTTTGGAGGACCAAGGGAAAGCCTCTGAAAGGAAAGGGGACACATTCTGTGTATTCAGGGGCCTTCCTGGCTGAAGCTAGCAGGACAGAAGGAGCAGTGGAGGCCATTCTTATCTCCGCATCCTCTGATGGTTGCATGTTACACTAGATGCGATTTTCTTGTGCGCATACTGATGGGCTCTGAAAGGAGAAGCAGCCTGAAAGAGGCTCAGAACAGCATTAATCCTGGCCTCTCTGGTTTCTTCCCTTCCCTGCTTACCAGAACACCCTCTTCTCCATCTCTTTGAGGTTGATTTTCCAACCTTAGAGGGCAGCCAATGCAGTTCTCTACATTATGGTTGCAGGGGACAGGGGACAGATTTCAAACTCTCCCCTCTGAGGTCAGGGTGGCTATCCCTGACCTAGGAAGGGGAATCTTGCCAAGCTGATCTTGGATAACTCCGATAAGCCACTGTGGTACTGAGAAATCTTAGAGCAGACCATTGTTTCTGTCTGTGATTGCTAAAAACCAAATGTGCCATGCTGAAATACCACAATGGTACCTGGATGACTGAACGGATGAACACTGGTAAAAAACCACCATTATGTGAACCCACCCACACTGTGAGTACCAACTGTGAAGTAATCCAAGTCACAGCAACTTGAGGTGTTCTGCTCTTCTTACAAGTTCCTTGTTATAAATCACAGAGGAGGGATATATATATTCCTCATTTATATTTTATTATATATCTATGACTATATATTGATATATGTATATTTGAAACCATGTATTCTCTTGCCACCACAAGAAACCCCTTGAGCGCCACAAAGCCACTGCAGTTGCTTCCTCACCTTTTATGATGATCTCAGATTTAGCAGCATAACATTGGTTAGGTGAGCTGAGGAAATATTTGTTCCAGACCACTAAAGTCCAGACTTGTTACACAACATACTTGTCCTCTTGCTGTCCAAAATGTCCATGGTTAGGAGCTAAACCTGGTCATCTTGCAATACCTCTGGCAGACTCAGGAGGGGGATTCTCAGTGGGAGGAAGCCAATTCAGTGCATGCCACACAGCCTCCTCTGTGCTGGCTTCAGGGAAAAACATGTGGTCTTGAAGAGAAATTGGAAGCACCACAGAAACTTGTGAATGCATGCTTTCATTCACCAGCAGCCTTTCCTATGGTCTATCCTATTCAGGGCTAGCTTCACAGAGAGAAACAAAAACAAAAAACAAGACTCCAAATTCTGCTCTCCCACTTTCTTCCTTAGAGTTACTTTTGGCACAAGCTCACACAGACGCACTTGGTCTAGAAAGACCCCGAATGCTTCACAGAAAGCAGCTTTATTCTCTATGCACAATGCTCACACATCTGGAAGACCTCCTTTTATGCGCAAGACCTGGCTTTGCAGACACTGCCTGACTCAATACAGTCCATAAGGAAATTCAAGGAAGGAGCCAGTCATTGCCCTAACAGGAAATCATTACACCATCTATGCTTCTGCAATTCAGCGATCCCCGTGTTCTGCACAGTTAGCTCTGAGATCCATGTCCCAGCTTATGTGCCTGTCTTTCCCAGAGAGAGCCAGATAGCTAGTTTCTTTTTGGTCTTGCTTGTTCTTCCTCACACTCTCTGTGATGTCTTTGTACGTATTCCTAATTTTCCTCATCTCCTCCTCTCCGCATAGCCTTGCGATTACTTGCTTTAAATTGCCACGCTTCCTGTTCTTGGACTTTTCAATAAAGCAGGATTGCTGATTACAACAAAGCACAGGCCCTGCCAAAATCCAAGTACAGTGCTATGGCTTGCCGGTATGCAGGCCAGGCGTAGCACATGCTGCCTGACGCAAAACCATTGTTCCAGCACTTCTGTTCCAGTCCCCGTCTGGAAAGCCCCCTGCTCTTCCTCTGCTGCCGTGGGAGGTTCTTCAGGCTGGGGACGGAGCACAGGAGAGGAGGGGTGCGAGCGGCGAGGGCAAGGAGCTCTAGTCTTGTGGCTTGGGGCCCTCGTGGGGTCAGCCATGTGTCGAGTCCACAGCAACAGAAGGCTGGTGACTGCTCTGAGGAGCCCCACTGGCCACTTTTGTGCTGTGGCAAATGCCACAGCAGAAAAGCAGCTGACAGGGCTCTTCAGAGCACCTGCTGGAGGCGGTGGTGGGCTGGGGAGCGGTGCAACGCACCGCTCTTCCAGTTCTGTGACCTCATGTGGACAACATGTGGACATCGGGTGGACCCATGCTTCATGGGGGGCCAGCTCTGCTGGGATGCAGTGAAAGTAGCTGGGTTATTGCCTCTTTTCTCCTTTCTTCCCCAGCCCTACAACTGGATCCCACCCACAAGAAAGGCTGAGGTACATGCCTGTACTATGCTGCTGTAGTCTGGGATATCTTCAGGAACCGTGGCTTCATAGCTGCTCTGAAGGAAGATCGGTCGATTGTCATTAACATCTAGCACAGTAACATGGACAGTGGCTGTCCCGGTCCTCCGTTTCCCTGTGGGGCCATTATCTGTGAGAACAAAGGAGTCCATGCAGTCTCTTACCATTCAGGAAAAAAGTACATTCTACCAAACAACTGAAAGAAGCCCTGAAGCACAACAGGGGCAGCATACTCCAGATCACACCTTCTCTTTGGTTTACAGCCCATTTGCCGAATCATTCCACACAGCACCCCATCCCGAATCCCACTTCATCTGTAAGCCCACACCTGCTGGAAAGTTGCCCTAGTCCAGTCATCTGAGATGTCTCCATTTTGCTGGATTTTTATCTAAGGCCAGGCCTGACTGTTATGACTATAACTGCAAACTCTGGGCAGGACTGAAGCATCCTAGAACATCTTCCAGTTGGCAATGCCAATGAACAATATTAGCAAGGATGAAATGAAGCTAACAAGGAAACCACGGGAAGGTGGCATGGTGTGATGGGCTAAGGTAATTTTTGGGGTTTTGTTTCACCATAAATAGTCGGGGCTAGTCTGCATTTCAAGCAAGATTTAGTAGATTTCACTTCCAATACATGCAGCAGAAATGCCTATTTTACTTTAATTTGTACTGTGCATGTTTACTGACACATGGATCATGAAGACACTGGGCTGATGTAGTGCTTGTCTTTTGCAAACTACACTTCACAAGCCCCCAAATGTCATGCCACAAAAAGACAAAACAAAATCTGGCATTCTGCAGTGCCCATATTAGACAGCCATATTAGAGAGCTATTAGACAGCATGTTCCAGAGCTGGCCAAGTGCTTGGACAATCTCTAGTGAATGTGGGAAGGAAATTCTTTTGCACCTCATCAGGCATCTGTGTAGTCTAGAGTATATATTCTCTACATTGTAATTGGCATCTTGAGATGAAAAAGATAGAATTGGCACAATCTTCTTTGTTACAATTGGTGACAAAAAGGTAAATGTTCAGAGTTATTCAAAATTAGAAACAAAAGTAAGTTATTTAAAACTCAAATTAGTTTCACTGTCAGATTTTGGACATTTTTGAACTGAGATTTTGTTTTTGCTTCTGGATCTTTCGAGTTGTATTTTTGCAAGCAAGCAGTCCTAGCCTCCTAGCACTGTGACTGGGGAGTGGGGCATAGGGCAGGTTGGAGATGCAGCTCTGACACTGGAAAAACACCCTGAGCTGGAGATGTGACCCCAGCCTCAGAGAGCTCCTCTTCTGCCCTCACAGCTGGCGCAGATCTTTCCACACTGGCTGGACTCCGAAGATTATCCTCTGTCTTTGAAGCTGGCATTGGGGTGGGTGGGGGGATATTCCAGGATTAGAGACAGAGAGATCAAGGCATTACTGTCCTCCCAGGGCTTCTGGCAGTGCCTCAACCTTTCCCCCTTATAAGGAAGAAGAAAACACTTAAGACAGCTGAAATCAGCAACCTTAATGTTTTGGAGGGTCAGAGGAGAACAGAAACCATGCTCACCTCTGCGCTTTCCCCACCAATGCCTGTAATCTGTCAAGTTCAGATGGTTTATCTGTCTATATATGCATAGGACTGCACCCCTAATTAATCTTCAGTCGAACCTAGTATGCAGTGATTGACTGCATCCCAGTACATAGTCACTGGGGGGATATTTTCATTAACAAGTTAACAAGACTTCTCCTTCTTGTTCAAAGCCACAAAAGGGTTCCTCTCCAGAACATGGTATCAAAATGTATGGCAAGACCAGAATTAACTGAAGCTGAGTAACACAACTTTATTCGGTTCAATCAAAAATGTTCCTTCCCATAGAATGAGCTCTATGGATGGAACGCAGATAAACGTTTTAGAAATTTGAATGGAATGCTACATTAATAATTTGCATGCATCCTTTGCATACATACATTACCCCTCCAAATAAGCTCAGAGCCCGTATGTGTCATGCACAGAGACAAGAAGAAGAACCAAAGTATTCGGAGTCAGTCCTTACCGATGGCCTCTAAGATGAGTGTATAGGAAGGCACGGTTTCCCTGTCCAGATTGACTACTGTTCTAACTACCCCATCTCTAAAACCAACACTGAACTTTCCATCTTGGTTCCCACCTGCGGAGAAAAGAGAAAAAGAGGAAGAAAAACAATACTTTTAAAAAAGGATTTAAATACACACACCTTATTTTCGAGATATGAATTGCAGAACTAAGATATGCTGTGTTTTATTTTGTATTGTCTTGTTGTTAAACCATCCCGATAAATAAATAAACAAACAAATTCAGGCTGCGATTCAGCATATACTTACCGGGGAATAAACACCATTGAACTCAAGAGAGTCTTGCTTCCAGATAGATAGGTATAAGGATTGCACTGTAAGTCACATGAAAAATAATCCTTGTTTCTTTGTGAATATGCATACACAGGTGCATGTTTTCCTATAAATCTTTGCACAACTGTAGGATAGAACATGATGCTGCTGCGCATGCAGAGCTTTTAGGGAAGGAATACTTTTAACACCACCTAGATTAGAGTCAAGATCTATCCATAAGCATGGAATTTAACATTTGCGGGATCTTGAGGAAGGTCAAGAACCCCAAAGACAGACACCTAGAGCCGAACCAAATTTCAGCTCCGGTGCATTTTTCTCAGAAAATGCCTGAGATTTTTCTTTTTCTTAATCCCCGAGAAATAAAAGACCATTTTGTAGTACTGCCTCCAAATTTTCTTCAGTATTATAGTTTGTGGTGACCATATTCTCCTGCCCTGTCCCCAGTGTCCTGGAATGATGCTAGGAATAGGGAATTGTGAAGGGTGCACAATGGAGGCCCAGCTGCCAACACAGTTGATGGTGCTGCCACAGGTGGTGTGCGGAACAAACAGACCAACCTTAGGGAAGGGAAGGAAAGGAAAGCTGTACTACAACACCTGCCCCTATGAGAAATGTTTGGAGTACGTCTCCTCTGGCGGGAGAAACCCAGTGAAATTGCTCCTCCCCACATTCCTCTGTCCAGAACATGGTGGAGAATTTCAAGAGGCTATTTCTGTGCCGCTCCACAAACCAGTGAATGAATAGTGGTAGTGTTGGTTAGGGTGTGTGTGTGTGGCCTGTAAAATCTCGGGTGTCATTCAAGACTCTGGGCAGCAGAGGGCGAGAATGGACAATTTTTAGGGCCTTTGGAAATAATACATGGCTATTTGCCAAGTACCACTTTGATCAAGCTGGGAATATTTTCATCTTCAAATGGGACTGGATAGAGATGACTTAGGATGCAACGTGATGTATGTTTAGACAGAAAAAACTCCTGCAACTCCCAGCATGCCCTAGTCAACTGCAGCTTTACATTGTTTAGGGTAAGATCCAGCCAAATTCAAGTACTTTTCTAACTGATTTCAATGTGACAAGAAAGCATATGCACTTCTGAGTGACATTGATTTCCATAAAAGAGAGACTACAGGCTTGTGCAGTTTTGGATCAACCAAGCAGAAGTATCCCACCAGTCATATACAGTATTTCATTAAAGGGAAATTAATGCTTTATTTTTACTGCTTGCTAGAGACTGTAAAAACTGGGGTCAGACAATCAACCATAGCCCATGATACTTGGCATGCATCTGGCTTGATGGGTACAAACTGGGCAAACCAGAATCACACACATAAAGATACATCTCTGCGACATCACTGGGACTTAAAATAGCTTACCTCTGGATATATCATGTACTACATTTCTAAAGCTGGTGGTAAAATCAAAGAATCTTAAAAAAATAGCATTGGAAGGAGCCAATAAGACCATCAGGTCCAACCCCCTGTTCGTGCAGGGCTCAATTAACATACTGCAGAGGTCTTTCCAGAAACTCTGCTTTCACATATCTGCTCAATTCTTGCAAAGCTTATCTTATTACACTAAAAGCCGAAATTAAGAAACTTCCATGGAGAAATAAAAGTTTGCAACATTACAGACTAAAATGTATAATTCAAATGAAACTGGAATTGGCAGAAAGGTGGATTACCCCCCAAAAGAGAATTCCTACGATTACATGTATTCTGCTCCATATAAGATGGCACCATGTGCATTTGGACAAACAGTCCAATAACGGAGAGAGCCCTGCTTAAGAAGGGGTAGTTCAAATCCCCATCGTCCTATTTCTTATTGCCTCTTGGAACCATTGCTTAATATAACTGGTCCACGTATCCTGCAGTGGACCTTTAAAAAGAAAATATGGACACAAGCGTGAAGGTATCTGCTATGGAAGTGGCTCTTTTATGTCAACACAGTCCTGAACATTTGGCATGACACTGGTTCTTTATGAAGTGATTCTGGGCTTATTTTTAAACCAGTGTCTACATCGGGATATAACATACCTGACTACACTTCACCAAACACTGCAAATGAGTTCAGCCACAATGCCTTCCTCAAATTGTCATATCCACATTGGACAGACATAAGGCTGCTGATGACTCATTCAGTCTGATGAAGCATAGATAATTCTCAGGAGCAAACAACCCAAAACAGCTCTGCTATCGTTTGTAAAGCATCATAGAAAACATATGCAAATCCCTCTGCAAATTAGCCTTGCAAACCAAATGGCAGGACAAAAAGACCCTTTGGCTGTCATATTTGCATTTATTTATCCCATAGTGCTTTGCACCAATACTCTGCACACACATTCTGAGTGGGAAAGGAGGATGGATATAGGCCAAAGAAGAAATGCTTTCTTGAGATGTTGAGCCAAATAAATGGTAATGGGTTGGACCAGCCATGACCCATTCCCAGTATGGGTGGTGAAGGGTGTGAAGTGAAGGAACTCTATTTGTAAGAGCTGGAAGAGAAAAGTAAAAAATGAGTGATCGTTTCTGCTGCATGAATTTAAGGGAAGAATTTGCAGAGGAATAGGTTAGTTCACTTTTTCTCTGTCAATGTCACCTCCCCCAAACCTTTGGGAAGGGGCAGCCTAAAAATCTGAAGGAAGAAAAAGAAGGAAAAGCACAGCAATAAGGACTAATCCACGTTCTCTGCTTCCTATGAACCAAGTGGCTTCTAATTCCAACATTTTTAATCAGTCGCTACTGAGGCTTGCAGAAATGTTTAATTACCCGTGATGAAATAGCTGAGCTCAGCGTTGAGACCCACATCTGCGTCGGTGCAGTTCAGGCGAACCACCTTGAAATCACGAGCTATGTTTTCTGGAAGTGATACATTGTAGACCGCCGGGAAGAAGGTGGGCTTCTCATCGTTCACATCTAAAACTGCAAGAGAGAATTTGATCAAGGATGACTCTGGGCCATGCCTCAGGCACTCCCTGACATTCTTCGAAGATCCACTGCCAAAGCCGCTGCTACAAGTCAGCCACTCTTGGCAAAGGTTTGGAAGGAGGAACAAACTTTGGCATGGGAATTCCTGAGTAATAACTATGTAACAGTTAGAAGCATTTCCCATTCTAGACGTTTGTCATCTGAGTTAGCATCTTTTCACAAAATATAAAGGGACCTCGTTCTTACAGACTGAAGCTAAAGACATTCCTTTTCTTCCAGCCATTTTAACTGCGTTTATATATGTTATATAGTACTTTGAAAATAAGAACTAGTACCTGAGTTTTGCTTTTTTCTCTTCCCTACCAATCCCCTTTTCTTTCGTCTTGTATCTTTTAGAGTATTATGAATCTTTGAATCAACTGATCTCTAGGTGATGCTGTGCATATGATACACTGCTCCAAAAGCAAACAAAAGACCACTAATTGTACAGTCAACTTATGTTGTAGATTTAAGCATCTTAAAATTAAAAGCTTGATTCTTTTTCATAGATTCAAATAGTTAAAAATGAAAAAATAACAAGTTTATAGATTTTAAATGTTTCATACACATGCATGTAGAGTTTTAAAATATAAAATGTAGAAAACATGAGGTTTGACCTATTAAAGACTGGGGTCTTTTTGGCTGAAGCGTATGGTAATAATGCTGCAAGCAAATATTTATTTATTTCTATACCATCCAACAGCTGAAGCTCTTGTGCTTATCCCATTTATTATGTGCTGTCTTTATTCTTTTAGTTCATGAAACCTATCCAGTGAACTTCTGTAATTAGGTAGACTATAAAGAAAGAAATAAATGGAGCCATTCTTCCATCAAGATATGGCAAAAAAGCATCAGAACAACAAATAATACATTAACTTTTCTAAACTTTAAAGCTTCTTAAAGCAGCCGCCAAGCTTTTGTGCAAAACTTAAAAAGAGATTACAATTTTTAAAAAATACACAAAATGATTCGGATCATACCTTTCATTGGAGTGAATGTGTTAATCTCATAAATAGTACCATCCAACCCCTTTTGGATCTTATTTCACCTATTTAGTATCATCCTCATCCACACACATAACAATAAACAAATACTCAAAGCATTATAAAGTGAGGATGGAGACCCCATCTCTAGTAGCAAGGGGTCTGCTCCTTCCCATGAGGTTGGATAACATGAAAAGATACTGTACAGCACCAAGCACCTTCAGCTTCCAAGCCACTAGGGTGCCATAAATATCAGGGCTAGAACAAATGATGCATGGTCTTTGGAATGAAGTGGGGGCTGCTAGACAGAGACGGAATTCTAAGCAGTCAATAACACTTGAGCTCAGTAAAGAGAAGGGACTGAGGAAGATTCAGGATTAGAATGTGTGAGAAGACAGACCAACAGAGTAACTGCAAGAACTAAGGAATAGCAACAGCTGTTGCTGAGCTTTAATTTATTTTAATAATAATTTCATAGTTCCGAGATACAAACCGTACCTGCCCCTTCTGTGCATTACTGGGTCAACTGCTACGGTTACCTCTCCCTGGGATTGAGGGCAACATCATTCATATTCAAGCTTCCTCAGACCACCTCTTAATGCAAAAATGAGGGCTGAGTTTTTCACACAAGCACGCACCTATTGCTCACCCCCTAATCCCAAGGCTGTTTTGCATGGGCATTTTTTCATCCTTACGGCACTCAATCCTTAAGCCAGCCCTAGAGTGACAAACCCAGCCAAGTTTCCAGGGCAAGGATCCCAGGTAGTGCACTTTGCTTTTTCCACGTCTTAGCAAACAAAAAACGCACACTGTGCAGTAAATGTGGCATCTTTAATTTGATCCACCTTAGCAGAAAGTCATCGAGGCACTAGAAGCGGTGAGAGAACCTCATGCACACTTCAGCGGCAGCACTATCACTGTTTTCAGGCCTATTTCAACATGAGTTTGCAGTAATAGTGAGACAGCACCCAGAGCGTTTCAGTCCTTCAATCACCTCTGACAGTGAGAGTGCTGGTGGAGCTCTTGGACGGCACTCCTGCATCACTTGCAATTACCCTCAGGTAGTATTCAGCGATCCTTTCCCTGTCTAGCACGGCTGTGGAGTTGATCAGACCACTGCTGCTGTCGATGGTGAAGTCCATCCTGGGCATGCCGACCTGCATGCGGTAGGTCACTTGACCATTCAAGCCTTCATCGAGGTCAATGGCTACCACCTAAGAGTGAAAGCAAAAGGGAAGCGTGACTCTTGGACAAGCCGCCCTTCATACAGATGAAGCCAGAAGGCTTAGATTAGCCTTCCCTAAACGGTCACCCTCCAGATGATGGGAACCGTGCTCTACACTTCTGGAAGGTGCCTGGCAGCAGAAGGCTGCCTGGAGCCTTGGAAACCTTGGATGAAGCCAGAAGCCTTCAGTCCCAATAGGACAAACACTTCGTTTACGAGAGACTGTGGAAACTCAGCAGCACATTAGGTTATTATCTGCATGCAATCCCACCACTTTTTATAGGAGACATAAAAAAAAGTCCAAGCCTGTAGGGCTACGAAGATACATAAGGCCACCTACATAGTATGGAATCTACACAGCATCTAAAGTCTGGCCATCCAAAGGAAATGACATTTGCCATCTCAGCACAGTCTGGAAAAAGATGGGGAAGATGCTTCCGCTTTTACAGAAGCTGCAGTCCACGGGCATGGAACCTCTTTCAGACTAGGGCTAAATTCAACTGCAGAGAGGGTCTTGGGGTGAGGAGCTTAATTCCCGTGGTGAGTAGGGCCAAAGACCAAAGGTGTGGGCCCACCAGAACCCAGCATATTTTAAACTAAACCTCATATTGCCGGCAATTAAATATTGAGAAAGGTATTTTGGAATGGATAAAAACCCCTTAAATAATTAGTTGTTGGAAGGAAAGTGGTGGGTCCAGGGAAGAGGCCATAGCCTCGTGGGGAGCCTTAGAGACCTGGACGGGGATGCCAGGAGCACCAGCCCACAGGCAAGAGGTTCAACAGTGTAGTAATCAAATGGTAGTGGAGAAAGTAGCACCACTTTCCCCAGACACCTTTTATTTTGCATATAGTTAAGATGGAAAGCAAGACAAGAGAAGATTCACCTGGAAGACGGATGAGCCTGCTGGAAGACCCTCGGGAATCTCAGTGATAAAAGGTAAATTTTGGAAGGTGGGGTCATTGTCATTAAGATCCAACAAGTTTACAAACACTGTGGCACTACTGGTGGCTCGTAATGGTGGCCTCCCACCTGCAGAGATCAGAAAAGTCACAGACTTAATCCCATCAATACCCCTTTCCACAGCAACAGAGTTTCTATCATACTGTTAGAGTGAAGCTTCTTAAACCAAAAGGAAAAAATAATTCACTTTCAGCAGGAAATCAGTCTTGGTCTTAGAAAATCTAACTATGATAACAAAACAGTTTCATAAATAAAATATTAAAAGACAATAATTATCTAACCTTAAGCAAGCTGTAGCTGTTGCTACTTTTGCTACATAATTATTATGGAACGAATAATTAACACAATGTAGAGAAAAGTCATGCAGATGCTTCTGTGTAAATACATGCCAGATAGATGAATGTACAAGCAAATCTTGTCTTTCAGCAACAGGCTATGGAGAGAGTTAAGTGATTTCAAAGACAAGCACTGAGGAAGGCAAAGGAAGAAGGCATACGGTCAGTGACGGAGACCACAATCTTCCTCATGAGTTCAGCTTCCTGTGCATTTGGGTTCTCTCTGTCCAACACAACCCCTGTTGTGCGAATCTTCCCCGTGGTGCTGTTAAGACTGTAGAATTTATTTGGTGGTCTAATGCTGTACACGAGGGAACCATTTTCTGCTTGGTCTGGGTCAAATGCGACCACCTACAGAGATCAAGAGAGTGATACTACATTGATATATGAAGAGATTAAAAAACCCTTCTCAGTTTAGATTGCATCTGTGCAGCCAGCTCTAAACTGAAGCATGAAATGAAATAGATGGGGATAAATGCATCACTGCAGTCCCATGCATTGCTGCACCTCTGCACACAACAAGTTGAAGAAACTAGCCTGAATCCATACTTCGCTGTATTCAAATTAGACTAAGTGAAGCCAATACCATTTTAATTAATCACGACCAACTTAATTTCAGTGGGTCTACCCTGAGTATGACTAGAGCTAGATTCAAGCATTACATCTTTTTGTGGTGCAACACCACAACATCCAAGCAAAATAGAATTGTAGCAGGTGAGGAACCAAAGTCCCACCCCACCTGCCCAGCATGGGATCACTCTGCTTGTGACCCTTCCGCTAGGTTGGCGGGCCATGTACTTTAAAGTGCTTATGATGCTTGAAGGGCTTCCGGATGGACAGCTCCCGGCAGTACCAATCAGAAGGCTTTCTGCAGCTATTTCATCTCTTCCTCCTTAATGGATTTTTTTTCCTGGCAAGAAAAAGGGGTGGAAGAAGTAGTGGAACAATATGGGAGGGCTGCAAATGAAAGATGACAATATCTGGTGATCCTGTTTAGTCACATGACGGAACAGAGTAATGGTGAAATACAGTCTTTGTCTGGAGACCTTTCATGATCACATCATAAATGTGTTCACTGTTTCTTTACAAATCCTTCCTTTTTAGGAAATAATTGCCACTCTGTTTTATCAAACATCCAATTAAGAAAGTGGTACACAGTCAGTCCCAGAGAATAATATATTCTCTAGGAATAATTAGAATAGGGATAGACTATAGAATAATCCCTGTCGATAATTAGTTCCATCCCAGTCACTAAAGGACACTACTGATTTGCACTCAGCAATTAATTTACAGATACACACGTTCAGATTTGTAGTGAGGCTGCTCACCAACCAGTCAGCCAGAGACTGCCTTGGCGGAATGTACTGACTGTGTGCTAGTTTCACACAATTCTCAGAGGGTCTGTTTTTGAACAGGCGCACACACGTGGCAGCTCACGTGAAGATACCTGCATATATCTTCAGACATATTTTAGATAAGGGTACGTATGTCCTACGATATGATTCGAAAATACGAAAATACAGCTGTCCCAAAGTGATGGTTGCTTTCTGAAGTTGTGATTTTAAACAATGCTGCTCCCAGAGGGACTGTCTTTTGATACCTTCTGCGAGGTGGTACTTTGGTTAGGGTATATTTAGCAAGGCACCACACTGGCCGTTCAGATGGCCTATGCTGCCGCAGCCCAGGCAGTCTTCCAGGCCACCTCGTCCAGAAAGATCACTCTTTCTGGTGAGGCATTGGGGTTACTGCTGCTGGGCAGGCCCTCTGGGGACCCTCACTAGCCACTTTTCGGCTCTGGAATTTGCAGCAGCAGGGAAGCCACCAGTGGGCTTCCCGGAGAGGCCGAGCAGTTCTCAGAATGAGGCAGAGGATAGATGGTGCTGCGGAGATCTGAGCCGGGCATTCTCTAGAGAGGAGCACCTGGCGCAGCTTCCTGGAACGGTGAACAGGTTCACTCCTCAGTCTAAGAACCACTCAGGGCTAGGCACTGGGCCACCGTTCCATGGGCCACCATCCAGCAGCAGAATCACATGCCTGTGTGGCCACTGCTGGCCTCTGTTTCTGCCACCACCACACAGGGCGGGTGCTTGCCAACCCCAGGATTTAGCTCCCTAAGATGTTACCTGGTTCACCCCTAAAGAAATAGCCCTGGTCCTTAAACTATGTGTTTTCTGTGCCAATAGTTGTATATGTTCTCTTCCTGCTGTGCTATTTAAATAGAAATACGGTGTTAGCTCGGTTAAATGATTCCCTAACTTAAACTCAAAACAGAGGTTTTAGGCCTAAATTGCAGAGACAGGAGAGATTCAAAGGAACATGTTTTCCAACACAAAGCGAATGCTTTCAGTTCTCTTTTCCTTTTTCACCCGTTTGCCGAATGGTTTGATCCACGTTCAGATTAAATATGAGCCAAACTAGACTAGAAAGCGTGCCCAGACCACACATTATTAGGAAGCTCAGGGGACCAGGACACCCTTCAGCGGGTTGCCTGGGCAACAGGGGTGCACCCCTCTCCCATTTAGGAAGAACTTAATGAGAACACATCGTGATATCATCATAAAGTCAACTAGCTTTTGCTACAGCATCATGGAGGGCAAGCAAAGCCCTCCCATTGTCCTTGCTCTGAAAGGGGGACAGGGAAACAAACATGTCCCCTTTGTCAAAGCTACTGGGCTAGCACTCCACTCCCTGCGTCATCACACTGCAGCACTGTGGGCGCTGTTCAATATCTCATCTCCCCAAGCCCTCCAACCTCTAATTATGAGTAAAGGCAAAGAAAGTTATTTGTTTGCCCTCAGCAGTATCATCATGTAACCAATCGGTCTGGTTTGTGCAATGGTTTGTTTTCAGAAGAGTTCCTAAGGAGGAAAGCAATGGCTCCAAATTCACACGCACACACAAACTTATTTTTAAGACACCTGTATATGTATAGAAGCATTTGCAAGATATGTTATCTACATATGATAATTAACTTGGACCCCGCGATTCTTTCAACACTTTCTTCCATATATAGCTCTCTGCCCTTTAAGATTTAGGCTGCCTTGCTCTGTGTTCCACTCTGTCCTGGTAAGACTGAAGCAAGGTCTTTTGCGTGGAGGTATCGACCTTCTCAAACACCCTGACCAGGGAGTTCCACCAAGAAACTTCCACTGACCACCTTTTTTGTTTGCTAGTTGTGGCTGATGTTCTGGATTTATTCTGTTTATTTTTATTGCTTAGCGTTTTAATTTATTTAATTTGTTTTAAACTGTCATGCTTTTAAACAATGTGTTTTTATATTAGAAGACAACCCGAGGACCTTAGGTTGCCTGTAAAAAGATGACCAATGAGAATAACAAAAGTACATGTAAAGACTAAAAGAGCTACAAGCACGTTCAAAAAGTTACTTCAAGATATTAAAAAGAGGGTTGATTGCTCTAGGACTGAATACTGATGGTTTGTTGGAACTATAAATGAGAATGTGGATTGCATGTTTGAGGTCATTAGATTATTGATAGTGGTGTAGCGGCAAATTTAGAAGTGGGGGTTCCCTTCATAATAGTCAGAACAACCCCCTCAAAGCCACCCCTATTTCCAAAATTATGCAACCTACGATTGATTATACAATAAAAATGAGCATTGTCACTTTGTTTGGATTTCTGTTGAGTAATGAATGCAAGATGAGAGCATCTCTTTTTGAGATGAAACATTGACAGCTCCTAGAAGTTATTCCTTATTATCTTATTTATTATAAATGAATTATTTTATTACATTCATACCCTGCTCTCCAGCCAAAAAAGTACCCAGAGTGGCTTATGTGGAATTAATAAGCAGTTCCTGCCCACAGACTTTTACTATCTAAAAACATGGCATATAAGATGAAAGGGACAGGGAGGGAAGAGGAAAAAAAGGAAACTCAGGCACTATTTACCCATATGTAGTTAATAGTCTTGAGAAGGAAGGACTCACTGGAGAAGACCTAATGCTGGGAACAACTGATAGCAAAAGGAGAAGGGGGCGGCAGAGAACGAGGTGGCTGGATAGAGTCACCGAAGCAGTTGGTGTGAGCTTAAGTGGACTCTGGGGATGGTGGAGGACAGGAAGGCCTGGAGGAATGTTGTCCGTGGGGTTGTGATGGGTCGGGCATGACTTCACAACTAGCAAGCAAGTTACAGTCACCCAAGAGCAGCAGTCTGGACTGACAATCACAGTTTGGTTTCTTTTATTTTTCTGTGGCCTCTGCAACTACTGATTTTGTGTGTGCATGTGTGTGTGAAGGAGTCCAGAATCCATGGTTTAGCGGTTCCAGTTTCTCAAAATATCAAATCATCTTTTATTGTGCTCCCATTGGATCCATGATGAATCATGCATAAAGTAGCCTAACTCAAATAAGAGGCACTTTCCCCATTGATTCCAGTGACTATACAACAGCTATGATACTTTTATTCCACTTTCGCCATTATTTCTCCCGAATAATTCTGGGGTTATGAGTAGCTAGAGTATACCTATTGTTCTCACAGAGCTACAATTCCCAGAATGGTTCATCAGGCAGTTCCTCTTCCTCTCTGAAAACTGTGCCTCTTTGTGGGAGGAAGAGATGTCCGCTATTGACACTTGACAAACTACAGTCTCCAAGATTCTTTGGGGAAGTAATGACTTTAAAGTGGAATAAAAGCGTTTTAAATGTGTGCTGTGAATGCAGGGGGGATAGGAGGTAGTTTTTGGAGTAGCGAAGCCAAGCTGACCACACGACGCTGAGGAACAGAAGTTGACCATGAGGGAAAGTGTCACAGAAAACACAGGTGCATGCCTGGAAGTGTTGGGAACTGTCCAAAAACCACTCTTATTCTTAACACGTGAAATTCAGAGCTTGGGACACAATGGCAGCTGCCAGCCACAAACCAGCAAAATTACATCTCTTGAGAGGCGGTATTAGAGGGACTGTGACCTTGGCTTCAGGGACCGAAATAAGTGGGAATGCTCCCTCCACGACACCCTTGATCACTGAATTACATTAACAAGAAGCATATTTGAACAGCACGTGGAGAGTTGCTTTCACGTCTTTTTTAACTACTGTGCTTCTGGTTTCCAACTGCAACAAGAGCGAGGGAACCAGAACCATGTCAAGATGGATGGTACACTCGAAAAACAGTACTTGTTCATGGAGAGAGGTAGATCTCAAAGGCCAGTTAAGGTAACTGAGAGTTAATTTCTATACAGTGAACTTGGACTGGAGCCCTTTGCTATTTCCCTCCTCCCCAGAAGATTAATGTTTCATTATGGTATTTTTTTAACACAGTCTTTCTTGTTTGATGATTTTGTGGATTCTCTCCGCTTTCCCCTCATTTATTTTCTGTTTCACGCCCGTCATT